TGATGACAAAGTAACCAATACCCCAGGTTTTCGAGGACCATCCCATAACTTAATTTTTTAGAACGTTCCAGGCCACGCCTTCCCAGGATGCGTTTTATCCCAGATTTCCCCAGCCTCATTTGGATTTCCTTCTACACATGTTTTCAGAGCTTATCGGTGGGTGTTGGGTGAGAGGGTGGGTATAGTCTGAACCAGCTCTGCCCCCACCCCCACACAATCCATCTCAAACATTTGTTAGCTCCCCTCGCTCTTGTGATGTTCCCCAACATCTAACTTCTGTGCCTGCATCCTGTTGTCAGAGCTTCACAAGAACCATCCTCTTCCCATTCTCAATATTTTGCCAGCAGCCACCCCCAACATTCTGCCTACAGCCCCTACCATCAGAATCAAGGGTGCTCCAGAATTAGAGGAGTGCAGGTATGCTGGAGGATTGTTTCTTCAGACCAAAGCTGGTTGGTGACACCTTGCTGTATCTCACTGTCATGCTGCTCTACTCCACTGTTGCTAAATTCAGACTAAATATTTGACATCCAGTACTAAATGAGCAGAAATTTCCTCCAATTAAACAGTGGGAAGATTGAAATCATTGTTTCCAAGGTATCTTATTATGTTAAGGATACCGTAGAAGTATAAGTTGCTGGTGTTATGCAATAATCTGAAAATAAATTGGTGATGTTTTAATTCCTGCCTTTGACGGTTATAGTGAAGTATATTTTGCATTTCATTTCACTGTGGAAATATGGAATAAATTGTGAAAGCGCAGCACTTGACTCTGTGCACAACAGCGAGTAAAGCTCTATGTTTCATTTTAGCAGGGTCTCAGTCTCCTTAGAGCAAATGCCCTCTGGCCCCTGAACTGAAAGGGCATTAAGAAAGAAAAACAAAGAACTGAGGATGCCAGAAATCAGAAACAAAACCAGGAAGGGTCACTGGACCCGAAACGTTAACTCTGTTTTCTCCTCCACAGATGCTGCCAGACCTGCTGAGCTTTTCCAGCAACTTTGTTTTTGTTCCTGATTTACAGCACCCGCAGTTCTTTTGGTTTTTAATCAATATTGTGATACTGATTGAGGGATAAATATCGCCTAGGATATTAGAGTAACTCTGCTTTTCTTCTTTGAACTAATACCAAAGAAATTTTATTTCCATTCCAGCTACCACATGCCCTGTCAGTTTGATATCTCATTCAAAAGATGGCACCTCTGATAGTTCAGAGCTTGCTCTGTCCTGCATTGGAGTGTTAGCCTTGAGTTTTGTGTACAATTCCTGGAGTGGATCCTAAAGCCCACATCTTTGTGGTTTGGAAGCAAGAGTGAGACCAACTGAGTCAAGGCTGACAAAAATATTAAAACACTTTGTAAATAGAAGTTGTTCTTGTGACTCAGGAATAAGTCAACAAGCCATTCGAGAGTAGCAATGTAACATCGAACTGATAACAGTTAAAAAAAAACACTTTTGCATACTGTTATGTCTGGTTCCTGAGCCAGGAGTCTTTTTATCCCTGTTATTGCCGCCACCGCCAATCAGCTGATAAATTTCCAACATATAGCTGGGGGAGGTTGTAATGAAATCATATGGAATAAATGAGCTCATTGACTATGGTAACACTTGGTGACCAAGGTGGCTATTATTCCCTGAGATCCAGCAGTTCTCTAGATGGCTTATAAGGATACAATGAATTCAGCCTATCTCAATTGCTGAGGATCTAACTGCCATCTCAGGACACCAGTCTAATTTTCTCCTAATCTTCACCTTCTTCGCCTGCTGTTCCCACCGCAGCCTCCCACATCTCTAACCCCCTGCACGGCCTCTATGTTGTCTCTTCAGTCCTTCAGTATATCTCACCATCTTTACCCCAGATACACCAGCTATGTAACCCACTGTGATTTACTCATTTGGAGTCTCATTCCAATTACAGGAGAGCTTATACCTTAATAGGGAAGAGAGAGGCCGCACAGTGGAAAGAGAGGCGGGTTATGCTCTACATCCGTTCGTTCAGCTCCCGTGAGGAGAGAAACCTGGCTGCTGCATGAAAATACTGAGATCCTCCTGCAGGGATGCTGAGACATCTATGTCCCGCACAAACAAATAGGTACTGCATGCCACTGCCACTCTCCCATTATCTCTGCCATCACTCCCAATCATTGCATGCTACTTTTAACCAGTGGCTGCAATGTCTTCTGTCTCTGCTATCTGGCAGATTCTGCTTGGCTCCTCACAACATCTGTGGGGAAGTGGCTGGCTTTGGAAGAACTGCCTTCTGGGTCTCTGAGAATGACCATATTGAGGCTACAGAAGAAACATCAGCAAGGCTGCCTCATGCAACACCCCCGAGCCCAGACGCTGACACCTTGGTGGGAACCATCAGCCAGTGGGATGCAATGGCCCTCATTCCCAAAAGCTGCAGCAATGCAGGGAGTTATACAACTGTCTGTCTCTCTCCATTGACCAGGTTGGCAGCTGCTGTGGTAAGGCACGCCCAACACCCTCAATGTCTGCTGGAGGTGTGCACATACCTGCACTCCATCACCCTAGCCACTGGTCCCCAGAACTGAAGTGGGATGGCCATTCTTGATGCCCAGTCCAGGTGTTTTTTCCTTTATTCATTCACGGGATGAGGGCGCTGCTGGCTAGGCAGCATTTATTACCCATCCCTAATTGCCGAGAGGGAAGTTAAGAGTCAACCACATTGCTGTGGGACTGGAGTCACATGTAGGCCAGACCAGGTAAGGATGACAGTTTCCTTCCCTAAAGGACATTAGTGAACTAGATGGGTTTTTCCAAACCATCGACAATGGATTTATGGTCATCATCAGACTCTTAATTCCAGATATTTATTGAATTCAGATTCCACCATCTGCCATGGCGGGATTCGAACCCTGTTCCCCAGAACATTATCTGGGTCACTTGATTAACAGTCCAGTGATAATACCACTAGGCCATTGCCTCCCCTCCGCCCCTTCTTTCCTTAAGGAGACAGGGTTGTGCCAGGATGCATCCAGCCAGAGATGGAAATTCACACAGACCCCTCAGCGGTTTCTTCTCAAGACACTGCGCAGGTAACCAGTATTATGGACCAGACCAAACCAGACCCCCTCAAAGTATATTAAGAAAGTAGTTCGGACTCTAACATTTTCTTATTTTAAAGGTAAAAGTCAGGTGTTATGTTCCAAATGCAATTCAACTGGTTAGACCACCCAAAATAACACAATTTATTCAAACACTGCTGTTAAAATACGACAAAAGTAAGAAGAACTTAGAATAACAACGCTATTGGGAAACTTAACAGAATAATAGATACAGTTGCTATTACTAATTAACTGTTCCAATATAGCAACATCACATGAACACACCCTTTGGCAAAAAGGCAAATTCATAAATCAGATTTTCTCGCATGCAATGCCTACTGCAGGAAGAGAGGCCCCAGCTTCTAGTTGTTACCATGAATAGGGGGAAAATATAGCTTCTACTTCTTCAAAACTCTAGCCACATCTGCTGAATTTAAAAGCAGAAAAAGCGAGAAACCCTGGTCTATGAGAGCTGGCCACACACATCCAGGCTGCTTCTATTGTACTAACATTAAAAAAAATTGCCAAAGGCCTCACAAGTTGTTTACGTTACCACAGACTGCTCAGTACCTCTCATTCAATCGTTCTCTTAACAGAAACCAGGACAAAATACACCTCTTAAAGCCACAGCATCATCACACCAGGATCTCCACCTCCACCATACCTACCCTTTCAGACCTTTCAAAGTTCAAGCCGAGGAGGGTCGAATTGTCTCTGAGATGCACACTAGTGCTGTCTGCAAGCTGGATATTTATCCCTGTACTCCAAGTGTCCCTACTGCCACCTTTCAATATTTGTTGCTGAAGCACCTTGCAATGCAAATCTGTGTCTCCACTGTCAGTGCAGTGCCAGTATGGTCATGATTGGTTAAGCAGATGATGGTTGCAAATGTGCAAGGAGTAGGAGGGCATTCAGCTTTTGCCTATGGATCATGCCGTAAGCTCTTGTTGGTCAGAGTAAACAGTAAGCTGAATCCAACAGGTAGCCATTCTGGTCTGCATCTCAGGTATTCCTGATATCTAGATTTTTTGATAACTTTGGTTAGATGGGAATCTGAATGTTAATGAAGTGAGTTATTGCCTTAACAATGCATTTAACAATAACTAATGACCATCAAGTAGCATTTACCATTTTCCTGGAAGAATCGCTCTACAACACTTGCGAGAAGCATACAAGAGGATACAACATGAGCCTTGCCACACTTATTGCCCAATACAGCCATATATTTCACCAGAGCCCATGTCTCTCAGACCGCTATAAGATTCTGTTCTCTTTTTGTTTGATGTGATGACCCCATGCAAGAAATGCATTGAATCAATTGAAATAACATTAAGTATAGCCACCACACTTTGATAGGATTGACAAGATTTTTGGTTCTGCTTTTCTTGTGATCTTGTGAAACTATCATTTTCCACTAAAAGAATTCCCAACGGTTCAATTTTTCAATTTTGCTTTCCAAAAATATTTTTTTGCAGATTGCATATTGTTCAAATGTACTGACGCCTGTCGCATCTGATGTCAGCTAAAATTGTGGTGCCCACATCCTTACTCAAGCATCCCATAACCACACATTATCCCTTTCTCTCTGACCCGGATTGAACCCTGATTACACAGAGTCTTGATATTAAAATTCTCATCATATTCTTAACCATTTTTATGTGCATGACTCTTCTTATTTCTGTAACCTGCTCCAGGTTCTGTACATTTTTGATACTTCAAAGCTTAAGTCACCAACAATGTCTCAGATTTATAATTGTATTCAAGAATAGCATTTCCTGCAGACTATATCTGCAAATCCTGGTGTAACACTTAAACAGCTAGTCTTTTAATGAATGATCAAAAATGCATTTACTAAATTCTAACTTTTTGGTATCTCATCATATGTGGTTGCACTTCCTGTATTTTTGAAACTTACTTTCTTGCCTGACATTAATTTGAGACGTGGTGGTGAATTGGACATTTCTATGCAACAATCAGCAGCTATAGAAGGATTAGGATTTATTTCAATAAATCTTGCTGCTGACTGGTGAGTAATTTCTCAATATATTTCAATGAATATTTGTTTTCTAAAACGTAGCAGCTGGAAACTCTAATTCTGGTGTCAGGTAACGTGAGAATCTGAAGTTTTGCAGATGAAACATGAGCACATAAGTACTTTCTAACCAAGGCCTGCAATCTTGCAGGACTTTGTCATGTCCTTTGGATGCCCCAAGCATTAAACTAAAAAATAATTATTTTCAAAATGCAATTGTCGAGGTGTGGCAGTCAATTTTTGAACAGTAAAGACCACTAAGTTATAACTAAAGAAGTAAATGAAAATTTACTTTTGTCGGTCAATTGAGAGAGGATTAGGAATCAATCTACTGGAAGTGCCCTGTGGTTTTGATGATAGCATGAAATTGTTTTTGAGCATGTGAATGGAACTTCTGTTTAAAACTATAGCGCTCTGTCACCCTGTACAGAGATGTTACCTCGGTTTTCACGTTCCTTTTCAAAGTGAAATTTGAACTTACAAGCTTCCAATTCAGAGATCATAGAATCATTGAATCCCCACAGTGTGGAAATAGGCTGTTTGTTCCATTGAGCTCACATCGACCCTCCGAACAGCATCCTACCCAGACTCAACCCCCTTCCCTATCCCTGTAACACTGCATTTCCCAAGTCTAATCCACCTACATATCCCTGGGCACTACGGGCAATTTAGCATGGCTAATCCACCTAACCTACACATCTTTGGACTGTGGGAGGAAACCGGATCATGTGGAGGAAAGCCACATAGACACGGGGAGAATGTGCAAACTCCACACAGACAGTCGCCTGAGTGTAGAATCAAACTCGGGTCCCTGGCGCTGTGAGGCAGCAGTGCTAACCAATCAGCCACTGTTTTAAGATTGTATTTAATAATCTCATTTAAGGTGGGGGATAGTTGTTCTGAGCAATGAAATATCTTCAATTCCAGTAACACCATTGCAGTATCAAACACCCCAAGACCCAGAAGAACAGTTAAACATTTACTTTACTTTGTACCTGTTCAGTCCCAAGAAAGTTGTCTCAGTCTCAAACTAAGGAGACTTTCTTTCTATTCCAATGGAGAAGACAACAGGCCCAGGGATGATCTTATTTGGTATCAGGAGTGATAAGGAAGGAATAAGAGCTTGGGACATGGCATTCCAGGTTTCTAGGTGAAGCAAGGTTGAAAATCATGGAGATTTTAACCATAGTTTTCCTATCTTGTCTGGGTATAGGTATGGTGTTGGAGGATTGGGAGACTGCTAATGCAATCATATTTAAAAGGCAAGGAAGGAGTAATTGCAAATCAGCCAGTCTGACCTTGTGGGCAATTGCTGGTAACATTCAAAGGGACAGTATAAATTGTCATTTAGAAAGGCATAGACTAATCATGATCAGTCAGCATAAGTTTGTTAAGGGATAGTTATGAGTGATGGAATGTTTGAGATGGTAACAAGAAGAATCAAGAAGAAACAAGAATAAAGAGAGCATTGTGCGTAGACAACATGAATTTTAGCAAAGTTTTTGACAAGATCCCAACTGGTGAGGGGAAATAAACTGACTTTCTTCAAGTTTTAGATGCTTTTCTCTGCAGAGACAAAGACATCACCTTCTTTTCCAAAGATCCAGAAACTCTCTTGTTCACACCGAAAAGCTGTTCAGCTACCTGGGAACAAACTGTATAGTTGCTAGCAAGCAGAAGGCCTTTGTCATTGACATTTTTTTTTGCTGGCAGAAACATTGAGAAAGCAGTGTTTTGTGAACTCAAGTGCTTCACAGGAATTTTGTCCAAGTAGGAAACCGGTACAGAATTTGAAGGAAGATCTGATATTTTGTTTCATCTTCAGTAATTGGGTGAGTGTTCTTCTTTTGTTTCCAAGCTTATGGACTATAACATCCTCTTTCTTTACTAAATCAGTAACTAGTTAACTGATGACATGAATAAATTGAGACAGACATGGCAGGGCAGGTGGTGTGATGTGACTGCAACATGCAGCAGTTTGCAAATGCATTGCAACGCTGGACAACGACATCAGGGATGACTGAATGCTGACCTTCAGAAGGCTTTCGATAAAGTCCCACATAAAAGGGCATGAGATTGGGGGTAGTGTATTGCGATAGATAGAAAATTGGTTAGCACATAGGAAATGTCTCATTTGCTAAAAGGCGGGCAGTGACTAGCGAGATACCAAGGGATTTTTACTAGGACCCCAGCTATTCACAATATTTGTTCATGATTTAGATGAGAGAACTAGATGATGTCTCAAAATTTGCTGATGACACAAAGCTGAATGCAAGGGTGAGCTGTGACGAAGATGCAGCGATGTTGCAGTGTGATTTACACAGGCTGAGTGAGTGGACAACTGCATGGCAGATGCAGGATAATGTGGATAAATGTGAGGCTATCCATTTTGGTATCAAAAATAGGAAGGCATTACTTAAATGACTGCAAATTGAGAAAGGGGAATGTTCAACAAGACCTAAGTGTCCTCATGAACCAGTCACTGAAAGTAAGCATGCAGGTGTAGCAGGCAGTAGCAAGGGGATTCAAGTACGTGAACAAGAATGTCTTGCTGCAATTATACAGGGCATTGATGGATTATTGTCAAAGAGTCATAGAAGTTTACAGCATAGAAACAGGCTCTTCAGCCCAACTTGTCCATGCCACCCAGTTTTCACAATTAAAGTAGTCCCACTTGCCTGTGTTTGGTCCGTATCCCTCCATACCTAATCCCATCCATGTACATGTCTAAATGTTTCTTAAATGACAAAATTGTATTCACTTCCACCACTACCTCTGGCAGCCAATTCCAGAAACTGACCACCCTCTGTGTGAAAACAATTGCCCCTCTGGGCCCTTTTGTATCTCTCCCCTCTCACCTTAAACCCAAGCTCTCTAGTTTTAGATTCACCTATCATGGGGAAAAACTGTTGGCTATCTGTCTTATTTATGCCTCTCATGATTTTATAAACCTCTATAAGTCACCCCTCAGTCTCCTGTGCTCCAAGGAAAAAATGCCTCAGCCGAACAAACCTCTCCTTACTACTCAAACCTGCCAGTCCAGGTAAATCTTTTCTGCACTCTTTCTGGTTTAATATCCTTGCTATTGTAAGGTGACTAAAGCTGCATGCAAGACTCCAAATGTAGCCTCGCCAACGTCTTGTACAGCTGCAGCAAGACATCCCAACTCCTGTATCAATGTTCTCACCAATGAAAGCAATGTGTGATGCATTGGGGCTTTGTGCACTGAAGGAGTTTTGGAAGACTGTCCAGAAAAACCAGAGCAAGGTAACCAGCTGGCTTACTTAGCTGTTCAGTGTCAGATTAAATTTACTACTTGTCTTCTCTCTATAACGAGACTATGGTGTCTTGACCTTGTACTCTAGATGGAATCACTCCCTGTATCACTGAAGCGTACCTGTCGACTTTTGTATTCAGTTTCCCTTTGAGCAGCTTTGGTCTTCTTGTCTGAGGAACGATGTTCTTGCTATAGAGGGAGTGCAGCGAAGGTTTACCAGATTAATTTCTGGGATGGTAGGACTGACCTATGAGGAGAAATTGAGTTGGTTAGGATTAGTTTAGAAGAATGAGGGGGAGCCCTCATAGAAATCTGTAAAATTCTAACAGGACTAGACAGGTTAGATGCAGGAACATTGTTCTTAATGGTGGAGGCTTCCAGAACAGGATCATAGGTTAAGCAAAAGGGGCAAACCTTTTAGGAGTGAGATGAAGAGAATTTTTTTTACCCAGACAATGGTGGAATTCACAACAACAGAAAGTGGTTGAGGTGAAAACATTATGTTCTTTCAAGAAGGAGATAGATATAGCTCTTGTGGATAAAAAGATCAAGAAATATGGGAGAGTGGGATTAGGGTGAGATTAGGGTATTGAGCTGGATGATCAGGAATGTTCATAATGAACGCTGGAACAGACTCAAGGGGTCAAGTGGACTAATCCTGCTCTTATCTTCGAGTGTCTGTGGCTTCAGCTACTTTGACCTAGAGTTGCTGAGTTGAAGTCTGTGTTGCAGACATTGTTTGACATCAAAAAGGAGGAGTACTAACTAAACACTTTGTTCCAGGAGGCAGCCAGGTTGCCTAGGTTAATTCAAACTTTAACATGGGTCTCCAGTTAGGGACAGGATAGTGTGACTGCGAGTCGGGCAGATATGAAGATTCAGCATGTAGCGTCATGATGGAGGTACCTCAGCCGTTGACCAACAAGAGTGCTGCCTATGTAGAAAAGAACAAGAACTGCAAGTTGGATGAACAATGAATGGCCTGGTGTGTGAGGAAAGATTTTGATTCATGGGGCGCTAGCACCAGCACTTGGAGAGGAGGAAGCTGTTCTATTGGGATAGGATCCTCTTAAACAAGGGGTGGGATCAGTGCCCTGGAGAAACATATAATTAGCATTATGGATAAGGCTTTCAACTGAAAGAGGAAGCTTTACCCACAGCCCTGCATTTTTTCCTTTTCAATTATTATTTGTATCCTAATCCTGTTTAATAGTTACTTTTATATTCGTTCACAAGATGAGGTGGTCCCTGGCTGGGCCAGCATTTATTGCCCATCCCTAACTGCTCAATGGGTAGTTTAAGTAAACCACATTGTTGCGAGTCTGGAGTCACATGTAGGCTGGACCAGGTGAGGATGGCAGTTTCCTTCCCTAAAGGACATTAGTGAACCAGATGGGTTTTTCTCTCAATCAATAATGGTCATCGTTAGACTCTTAATTCAAATTCTTTTCCCCCTGCCGTTTCAAACATTCCTGGTGTTTCTGGGTTACTAGTTTAATGATGATAGCATGAGGGATAATAGTATGATGGCATCGACTGCCACATTCATTCATGCAGTCAATAATCTCTCTCCATTAAAACATTTCTGCTTTGCCTTTCTCCCGTGCCATTGTCTTAAAGTCTTTAACAACACAAAGCTTTGAGCCAGCTCCTTCTGAATGCCTCTTGATCTGAGAGGAGTTTGGAGCAAAAATTACAGTACCTCTGCAAACTGCATATGAGATAATAACCAGCTGCATGAAAAAGACCACTGTCCTAGAAAATGCAGACAGCTTTATTGGATTTAGACTGTATCTAAAAAACCAACACATATTAATGGGGGGGCGGGGGGGCGGGGGGGTCCTGGGAAGGTTTTCATGCATCTAAGGTAGAAGCACCACACAATAATAACAGTAGGCAGTGCATAACCAAATGACTACTGAGAGGAACATTTTTGGAATCAGCCAAATTCAGGTCAAAACTTAAGTTTCCACTGGTTTGCCCTAGTTACCATCATCCACCCACACGTTAAGTCATTATATAAATAGAAAATTGTGTGGCATTGAAAATGTGTAAATGCTGCCCTTCTTCAAAGAATTTTATTTCCAACACTTTGTTAAGGTCAGATACTATGACGTAGAAGCAGCTAGTACTGATGTTTGATTGTGATAATTTAATAGATCTTGTGTTTAAACAGATTTGAAATGGAAATTGTTATAAATTGACACATGCAGACTCTGATGCACAGATGAAAAATCTGAGGTTTGACTCATAACGAAGATAAATCCAAAATAAATGTGGAGCTGGAGGAACATAGCAGGCCAGGCAGCCTTGGAAAGCTGACGTTTCGAGTCGTGACCCTTCTTCAGAAATAGGGGAGGGGTAAGGGGCTCTGAAATAAATAGAGAAAGTAGGGGTGGGGTGGTGATAGGGGAGTGCAGGTGGGCAATAGTGGGCGTTGTTCAGTGAGGTGGGAGGAGCGGATAGGTGGGAGAGAAGACGGACAGGTCAACAAGGTGGGGATAAGAGGGAGGGTTGGTCATGGGATCAGGTTGGGGGTGGGGAGATTTTGAAGCTCGTAAAGTCCACATTGAGGCCATTGGGTTGTAGGCTCCCAAGGTGGAATATGAGGTGCTGCTCCTCCAGTTTCCAGGTGGCATTGTTGTGACATTGGAGGAGGCCCAGGATGGACATGTTGTCCAAGGAGTGGGAGGGGGAGTTGAAGTGGTTCGCGACTGGAAGGTGTTGTCATTTGTCACGAACCGAGCGCAGGTGCTCTACAAAGCAGTCTCCGAGCCTCCGCTTGGTCTAACCGATGTAGAGGAGGCCACATCGGGAACAGCAGATACAATAGACCACGTTAGTGGATGTGCAGGTGAACATCTGTCTGATGTGGAAGGTTTTTTTAGGGCCTGGGATGGAGGTGAGGGGGGAGGTGTAGGGACAGGTGTAGCACCTCCTGCGGTTGCAGGGAAAGGCGCCGGGGCTGGTGGGGCTAGTGAGGAGTGTGGAGCGGACGAGGGAGTCGTGGAGAGAGTGGTCCCTCCGGAAGGCAGATAGGGGTTGGGAGGGAAATATATCCTTCGTTGTGGGTTCAGATTGCAGGTGGCAAAAGTGGCAGAGAATGTTGCTTTGAATCCGGAGGTTAATGGGGTGATACGTTAGGACAAGGGGGATTCTGTCTTTGTTTTGTTGCAGGGAGGGGGTGTGAGGTCTGAGGTGCGGGAAAGGCAAGAGATGCGGTCAAGGACGTTTTCAACCACTGAACGGGGGAAGTTGCGGTCCTGGAAACAAGAGGAAATCTGGATGTTCGGGAGAGGAATGCCTCATCTTGGGAACAGATGTGGTGGAGGCGGAGGAATTGGGAATAGGGGATTGCATTCTTGCAGGAAGGTGGGTGAGAGGAGGTTTAGTCTATGTAGCTGTGGGAGTCGGTGGGCTTGAAATAGATATTGAAATTTCCTTCCCAGCCCCTACCTGCCTTCCGGAGGGACCACTCTCTCCGTGACTCCCTGGTCCGCTCCACACTTCCCACTAGCCCCACCACCCCCGGCACCTTTCCCTGCAACTGCAGGAGATGCTACACTTGTCCCTACACCTCCCCCCTCACCCCAATCCCAGGCCCCAAAAAAACCTTCCACATCAGACAGATGTTCACCTGCACATCCAGTAACGTGGTCTATTGTATCCGCTGTGGCCTCCTATACATCGGTGAGACCAAGCGGAGGCTCAGAGACTGCTTTGTAGAGCACCTGCGCTCGGTTCGTGACAAATGACAACACCTTCCAGTCGCGAACCACTTCAACTCCCCCTCCCACTCCTCGGATGACATGTCCATCCTGGGCCTCCTCCAATATCACACCAATGCCACTTGGAAACTGGAGGAGCAGCACCTCATATTCCGCCTTGGAACCCTACAACCCAATGGTCTCAATGTGGACATTACTAGCTTCAAAATCTCCCCACCCACGGCCTCATCCGAAGACCAACCCTCCCTCTCACCCCCACCTCCTTGACCTGTCCATCTTCTCTCCCACCTATCCGCTCCTCCCACCTCACTGACCAACCCCCACCATTGCCCAACTGCACTCACCTATCACCACCCCACCCCTACTTTCTCTATTTATTTCAGAGCCCCCAACGCCTCCCCCATTTCTGAAGAAGGGTCCCCACCTGAAACATTCGCTTTCCTGTTCCTCTGATGCTGCCTGGCCTGCTGTGTTCCTCCAGCTCCACACTGTGTTATCTCAGACTCCAGCATCTGCAGTTCTTACTATCTCTAAATCCAAAATATGTTCGTTTTTAATGTTGTAAAGGACTGATAGGAACATTATCTCCCATGTCATAATATTTTCAAGAGTGTCAAAAGCTCCCAATTCATATAATCGTCTTTCTGGAAATTTAAACTTGGCTTCATATTAAGTTGCTCCATTTTGAAAACCAAACAGGAGGAGATGACCACCTGAAAATGGCTTTCATGACGAATTGTAATCAGTCCTTTTCTGAATCACATTTCCATGTTGTAGGCAAAGTTTACTTTAATTACAAAGAATTATCTATCTAGGTTCAACAAATGTTATTTCCCTATCCTTTCAATTGCATTTCCATTTAATGTTGTATATTCTCCACGATAAAAACTTTCCTTAATGAGCTAACTGGGCACTTTCTCTGATAAGATTTGCATTGGGCATTCCAATTTAAATATTGGTTGTACAGATTTAATGAAATACCCTTTATTTACATTTTCTTTTACAGCAGAATAGCATGCAAACATGAACTGCAGCTGTGAGGTGCATGAAAGTGTCAAACATTTTCAGCTGGTGCTCTACATTCCTACTTTCATCGTTGGATTGATACTCAATGCATTGGCCTTGCAAACATTCTGCTGGAAATTTAAAAAATGGACAGAAACAACAATTTATATGACAAACTTAGCTATTTCTGACGTTATGGTGCTTGTCACTTTACCTTTCCAAATTTACAGTTATCAATACATTTATGTTAATAAGACTTTATGTACAGTAGTTGCAATTCTGTACAGAATTAATTTTTGCATGAGTATATTTATTGTTACTTGCATAACTATAGACAGGTACATTGCAATAAAATGCCCATTTAAGGCAACAGTGTTGAGATCACCAACGAAAGCAGTAGTGGTATCTGCTGTGATCTGGATTTTTACAATTGTGTGGGCCATTAGTTTTACACTTATGTTTTATTTTCCACGCAATGAAGCCAATGGAACAGACTCAGATATGGCCTGCATTGCAAGGCCTTTAGCCATAAACTCTTCTGTTATTCCAAATTTAACACTAAATTTATTTATTCCACTGATCATTGTGGCTGTTTGCTCATTTGGAATTATCAAAGCACTTCAGCAAAGGAACATGTCAAATCCAGGAGGTTTTAACACAAAAAAAACAATGCGAATCATTGTTGCAAATGCTGTTGTCTTTATTGTTTGCTTTCTGCCTCTCAACATAATAATTTTTGTTCGAGTTACAATGAGCTACATGCAAATGGATTGTGCCACACTGCGTCAGGTGTGCCCTTTCTATCAAGTGACAAACTGTATAGCTAATATCAACTGCTGCCTTGATGGATTTTGCTTTTATTTTGTTACCATTGAAGCATCTGAACTTTACCAAAATCAAAATCATCAGCAAAAGGACTCTGATCAGAACATCACATTTCTCTCACTGTGGAGGTCTGACTAGTGGAAGAACTGCTTACTCAGGGTTTAATTCCTGATCTATATTGCATGGTCCGAGGAAACAAAGGCTAAGTGACATAATTATAATCTGCTGTTAATGCTTACATTTGATTATGAAAATTTGAAAACTTCAGACATTTTTCCAACAAACATTCCTTCCCAGCTTTACGTGCTTTTATTTACACAAAACTACAATCTGACAGCTCGTTATTTAATAAAGATTAGAAGCTGACTGTTGTGTAGAGTTCTTAATAATGCTAAAATAATATAGTACAATCAGTATTGCTGCTTGAAAGGTCAAGTACTTAAGATGGAACAAGTTTGGTACCTGATGCTTTATCTGTACTAGAGATTGTACTTCCATTTTTGATAGTGTGTTTATGAGAAAACAGCTCTTAAAATAGGATAGGAGGAAAGAAAGGAGGAAAAGGGTTTTCTTTCCAGAATTGGAGGAATGCCTCATATGAATGATGTGGAATGGATTACAGAGAAAAAGGAAGCCAAAACAACAAGGCGATTAAACAAGGAAATGTGATTTTTCTCATTAAGACATTTGTGGACCAGAAGCCAATCCCAGTCAAGGGCAGAGATGATGAATGATAGGGACTTGGTGTGGTTTGGTTTTGATTAGTATTTTGTCAGAAGATGGTCTACTAGGGAGCATTGGATTAATCTGTCTGGAAGTAAAGGAAGGATGAAGGATCAAGAAACAGAAAGGGAAGGACAAGTGTCAAGATAGACACGTTTACAGCGGTGATGATAGGAAATGTTGGTGTTGGACAAGGGGCTAATTGTTACAGTTGAAATCTGGGTTTAATGGATTACACAATTGACAACAGCTTGGATCAGTTTGAAAGGTTGGAAAGGGGGCTGGCGTCATTATCATGGGATTGGTGGAGGGGAAAGGAACAAAGTGAATGTCTTTGATCCTCCTAGTTTTAATTAAAGATTCCAGACTGTATGTGGAATTGTGGTCCAACAAAATAGAGCTAATGAGGGATTTGAGGAAGAGATATCACGTGATAGAGCTGGGTACTATCAGTGCACATTGAATCCTGATATCATGTCTTTGGCAGCATCTAGATAAGGAATGTGTAGTCATTAATAGTAAATCCTGGAGGAACTCCAGAGGAAACTGTTTGGGTTTTGGGGGAGGTGAAGACGTTAAAGGAGCTTCTTTGGCTATATATGGGTAAGTAAGGGTGGAACCAAAAAAGGCTGATAGCATACAGGTTAACATTGAAGGAAAGGTTAATGACTGACTGCAGAGAGGTACAATGGATAAAATTCCAATGTTTAATTACAGACACAGTTAATATTTGACAAGTTTCTAGGGACCTTTTTGGTGTGGTGGTGAATCAGATAATGTCTGCAGGAATTGGAGCAAAGCATTGCAGAAATTATTTGCAAAGATTTGGAAAGAGGCAACACATTCAATGAATTTAGAGGAAAAGAGCAAAGGAGAGAAGGCAGGCATTGACATTGGCAGAGGAGTGGTTTTACTCAGATTCAACCAACACAGAAATACAGCGCTGCCAGTTGTTCTGGAAGTTTAATTTATTGTTTTGTCTACTCTTTAAAAAATAACCTACTTAAAAAAGATTTAATTTCAACCTCTTGATCCTTTTCATTTTAGTGCTACTGGTAAAGTATACAGCCGTGGTCTATAGTACTGTTTGATGTATGAAGCCAGGGTGTAGTTTAGAGTCAGTAGTATCTCACCACACTGCTCATGATAGGCAGCAAAAAAAGAGAGCCTGTTTCTTCACTCTGACTCATTGGTCTGGAGCTTCTGCTCCATCAGATGCCTCGCTTGCTTGCTGAAAAGGTGGTGAGATCCTCAAGTTGATTTTCCAGGCAGCTGGCCTTTCTCTGGAATCAAGTCCCCAAAGGCAGAAATCCCACTCAGCATGATGTTCCAGCCAATCGGAAGCTTGGCTGGAGAGGTGGAAAGGAGAAGTGGACAGAGGTCCAGAAACAAGGACAGTGGAATGGCTTTCAGCAGCCACCCCCCAACCCTATGTCCAGTCCCTTGTAGGTGTAGAAACTAGTACAAACCAAGGGAGCCCTGAACTGACAGGCAATCTGCACTGGTTTACCAGTCACATGGTCTGACTTTTTAACATCCTACTTGGAGCTGAGAATTTTGCAGCCCAGGCAGGAATTAGCCTTTTCTTAGATCCTTGCATGATTATTAATTGAACACTGAAGGGCCTCAGCTGGTAGCAAAATGGGAAAGACTTGAGACTTCCTGCCTAGAACTGAATTTAAGCAGGGGTCCAGGGTACCACCACCCTGCCTGCTTAAATGTGTTCATGACTCCGGACCTGCTACCAAAAGGATCAGAATCAGTTTGGCTGAATCTTTAAGTATTTTCTCATACCTACGGAACATATATCCATGTCATTTATGCCAAAATGGAGGCAGCATGGTGACTATAAATATGCCTCAGTCATTGATATATAATCCTATTGTTGACAATTCTTGATTTTTTAAAATTGTTTTAAGCCATATCTGTTTATCTTCACTCCTATATGATGAGAATTCTGAAAAGAAAGGTGGTCAAAATGCAAATATGGTTCTTTTCTCATTCATAAATTGAAATAAATTAATAAATAATAACATTTTGTGGCCAAAGTTTTCCATTCTTGAAATGTGTGTTCTTAAAATGTGTATGACTGAATGTACTTTCCTGGGTTTTATAGGAGGATGGAGACCAGGAAAGAATGGATATCAGGCATGTTACTGAGACACTTGGCCTGTATTGAATGAATGCACTAGCAGTCGGAATATGATCAGCAGATAACCTCCCCTTCAGAGATTGCACAACCATTGTCAGCCTAGGTCACAACAGAACAGACTTTCTAAGTCTCAAACTCATTCCCAGGTTACCTCAAGCCACATCAACAACTTCAGTTTTATAGTGCAGAGACAGATGTTTAAACGCATTCCTGAAGTAAGATTTGGCAGTTTTATCACTTTCCACAGAGAAAGCTGAACAAAATCAGCTTTGATAGAGTAGAAAAAGAGAAACCATTTCCACTGGTACGAGTGTCATAACACATTTGTGATAACTTTTCAAAAATGCAGCAGGGAAGAGTTTTTTTTTGCATGGCTGAGTTGTGATTATGTGGAGTGTAATACCTGAGAAGATGGTGAAAGAAAAGTCAATTGTACCTTTTAGCCGGAAATAAGAGATATAGTTGAAATGGAAAGATTTACAGAGCTAAGGCCACAGAGCTAGAACTGACCTAATTGAATAAAAAGCCGGCACAGGCACAATGAGCTCAAAGATCATTTGTGTAGAATGGTGCTGTAAGAGGACATTACAAACTTTCTGCACCACAGGATTCATTAGATCACCCAAATCTCTCCTCGTAGCCCACTGGCCTTTGTAACACAGAATGGTTTCCATTCCATCAGAGTTCCGATGATTTGTAATTAAAGGCATACAATCATGTGAGTGAGTGACAACTCCCAGAGAGCAGAAATAATGTTTCATTGTAAGACAATTCCCATGTCTGGTTTATATGAACAAGCCAGAGTGGAAGAAAAAGGTTTTTTCTCCATAGCCCTCTCTTACAAATCTCACAGCAGCTAAATAACTGAGCTGTGGTCAGACTCAGTAAGGCCAACAGATCATCAGAAGTACCACAAACATCTGATGGTATCAAATTTAATATAGTGTTGGTGGCAAATGTGTTTCAATTTCATGTTTATCTGGGCAAAACTGCTTAATGTATTTTTTAAATCGAAATTTGTTAGGTTTTTCCTTAGTGACAAAAGTCAGTGAAATGGCTGGATTCTGGGGATCACTGAAACATTGGCTGGATAATGAGGAAATTTCAGATTTGCTGTGGATGTCAGGAGCTGGCCTTGTCTGTTTTCTAAAACATCCATCATTTGATGTGGTGATTGAGTCACTGGATGGGCCAGGCCAGATATGGTGTTGCCCTGAGAGGCAGCAACTTTAGCCATTTGCCCACACCAGCTATATTCCTGCAGTTAGTCATTCCCTCAGCCGAGTGAAAGCAAATGTCTGAACGACAATTAGAAATACTCCAGGTATCATCTCACCAAAGCTCTGTATAGTTGCAGTAACAGATCCTTGTTCTTGTACTCAAATTCTCTTACAATAAAGGCCAACACACTATTTTCCTTGCTGCACCTGCATACTTGTTTTCAGTGAACAGTGTACGACACTGAGGTTCCTTTGTAAACAATCATTTTCAATCTAACATCATGTAAATAATACTCTGCCATTATGTTTTTCCTACTGAAGCAGACAATTTCACATTTATCCGCATTATACTGCACTTACCAAGTGTTTGCCCACTCATTCAACTTGTCTAAGTTACCCCGAAGCATGTAGAGTCATACAACATGGAAACAGATCCTTTTCCTTTCTTAATCAAACTCTTGGTCCTTCTTTGCTGATTTCCAAACTGTCCCCAGTTCTCAGACTTATTACATTCTACAGAAACTTTAATAACTTCTTGTTAGATCTAATATGATCTTGAATTTATTTTGTTAACAATGGTTGCACCTCTTTTCCTGTTGCGCTCTTTCATCAGAAAGTAATGTATAATAGCTGCAAGCCACTGTGTGCATTTGTTCTTCAAATATTAACCTTTGCCTATCAACTGTCGTGCCTTTTAATGAAGTTACTATTCTACAGCAGCCAACTCGCCCCTCATTCATTTACTTAGATATAGGGCCTTAGCTTTGGATTGGAATACTTCACTTTCCATCTCAATGAATTCTATCATGTTATAGTCACATTTTACTAAAAGACATCGCACAACATGATTATTAATTAATGTGTTCTCATTGCTCAAGACCAAATCCAGGATAACCTTCCCTCAAATTATTTATTCAACTTACTGGCCTAAAAATACATCTTGTACACTCTCGTGTTCACCTTGCCAAGGTATTAACACTAATGTGATTTGGCCAGACTATATGTAGATTAAAATCATCCATGTTTACTGTCCTGCCGTCGTTGTGTACATCTCTAATTTCCTAGTTAACACAATCTCTACCTCACCACTATTGTTTGGAAGCCTTTGGGCAACTCCCACTAATGTTTTCTGCCCATTATTGTTTCTTAGCTCTACCCAGATATATTATACATTTGGGTTTTCTGTGTCAATATCATTTTTCACTATTACACTGATTTCATTTTTCACTAACAA